GTAGAAGAGAGGGGAGGAGGGGAGGAACTATTTGGAAATGAATGGGATGTAAAAGCAAAAACAATGAATGAACAAAAAATAGCTAAAACTATGTGTCTTGGTACTGAACAGACCCCACTCCCAGATCTGTGCATGGATTTGTAACAGATTAGGCTATCTCCACAAATTCCTTTGATGATAGTCAGGATTTTCTGGGATTTCAAGTTAGTGATATTCCCTCAAGCCCTGAGCACAGTTCCTGACTCATAGTATTGCTTAATAAATGCTTGTTGCCCATTCCCCTTCACCCCCCTCCACTAGATGAGTGCGTGATTGCCCTCTGGGGTCATCTGGTTGTGATGTCATTGAAGGAATTTTAGTACCTAAGGTATCTACCCATAGCCCAGCCTCCTCTAGTTCTCATTTCCATTTAGACCCCGAGTCTTCCTTTAGGCTGCCACTGAGGAGAGGCATTTCACTGATCAGTGAATTTATCAATAACAGTTAATGGAGGAAACTAATCTCATGGATAAAGAAAGAAATGCTATATGGAAAAATCAGAGATTAGAATTCTGGCAGGTCTGATTAAAAGCACGGGTGATTAAGACTGAACAATTCCACCTCTAGGTCCCTCCCTACCCTTAGAAAATAATACTTATCTTAATTCAGTATGTGATAATTAAATGGGACTATTTAGAAAGAAGGAACAGAACTGGAACAGAAAGTAAGAAATCTGAGAATTTGAAGAGTTTCCAGTTCGAACAGGTGTGCTGTGAAATTAGTTTGGTAAGATTGTTCTTTGGGGCAATTTCATTCCTAATTTATTTGTACTCTGATAGTGCTATTTACTGAGAATAGATGTAACTACCTTTTGGCTTCCAACCATTTTTCATTCAGAGATTAGCTTTGCAAAGCTTTGCTGCCTCAGGTCAACCTTTTAAAACAGTTTGAATTGAGGAGAAATCCTAGAACTTAGCAAAGCTGCCCAGCTGTGGGAGAATGGGGGAAGGAACTCACCTAGAGTCGTAGGCAAGTGTAGTTCATTTCATTAAGGTGTAAGGTGTGCACCCAGGGAATTGTTTTTTAAATGAAACATTTATTAACCACCAAACCATGAAGGACATTTTTATTTATTTACAACTAAACTCATTTTTTAATTAACTAAAATTTCTTTTTAAGAGAGACACAAATTATCCATTTTTTTAGATTGAAGTGTGTGAAAAGCCTATGCTTTTGGTGCTGCATTGGGGCTGATAGGACTTGGGAAATCTACCTTCTGATATCTTCCTATTTTAACTTATTCGCCAACAAGGAGCTAAGATCAGTTGTTTTTATGTGACTGAAGGAGTATAAATGCTGCTAGCATCGTCTAAGAGTCAGTGCCTGGGGGCAAAGCCTTGGTTCCCCTGCAGTGGTTACTGCTCTTAATAAGAGTAGAAACAACTCAGGCTATAGTTAGGAGATTTGGGTTTCACTCCTGGCTATGCCACTTATTTGCTGTTTGACCTTGGGTCAAGTCATTTACTGTAAGCCCTACTTGCCTCACCTATAAACCATATATGTTAATAAGTACCCCAGTTTATCTCATACATTTATTTTGTGGGATCAAATGAAATAAAATATGCAAGTGTTTTGTAACATAAAATACTATGTAAATGGACTTGGCTGTAATTATTAATCTCTAATCCTATGCTCTCCCAGACCTATTTCAAAAAATGCACCTTCCTTGTATTATATTATCTCTGTAGAGTGTATGAGGCAAAATATCTCTTGATTTTTAAAAACTGTATTTGGGAAGAATTTACAACAGTGGCCAGGGTAGCCTGGAAGTGATCTATTTCCTTTTTCCCCTCTCCCTCTCTTCTAAACCCCCTGCAATCTGGCTTCTGACCTCATCTCTGACCTCATCATCCAGCTGAAACTGTCCTCTCCAAAGTTATTAATTACTTTTTAATTGTAAAATACAATGGTCTTTTCTTGGTCCTCCTCCTTCCTTGACATCTTTGCAGTATTTGACACTATTGGTCATCTCCTAGATACTCTCCCCACTTGGGATTTTCATAACACTACTCTCTACATTTCCAGCTTTCTTAGACTTTACTTCCCTTTATGTACTCTTTCATCCAACTACCCTAGCCTAATTCATCCTTGCACACAACATTCCGTCTCATGTTCCTGTCCCTTTGCACTGGCTGTTTCCTGGTCCTGGAATGCTCTATTCTCAACTCTGCCTCTGTTTCCCTCTCCATTTAGTACATAGCACAAATCCTTCCTTTTGTAGGCCTTTTCCTCCGAGATTGCTTTTTATCTACCCTGAATACATGTATTATGTACCTAATTATTTACATGTTATTTCCCTGTTTCCCTCAAGAAGTGAGCTTTTTGAGGATAAGGCCTTTCTCTGTGTCCTGTTCCTGGCATCAAGTAAGGGTTTAATAAATTCTTGTTGATTGATTGAGATTACAGGAGGTAGGTGAAGGATAAGGGCTTCCCTGCCAGGACCAAATATTTAAATCAGCACAATTTAGAATAGTTAAATAGAAAATAGGCAACTCATTTTGGCCATAAGTTCTTATATTTCCTTTAACCTTTGTTCTAGCTACAACTGAAAAAAAAGTGATTGTAATTGTGCGGGTTTTCTCACTAAAGAATTGTATTCACAATTGTATATGGTTAATCCCACACCCAAGTGAGGGACTGACCGATTTATATTCCTGTTTTTCTGTTATTTATACCTGAAGAAAAGCTGTACCTATTATACTTGTTTGACCCTAAGCTACAGCCCAAAGAGGTTGTAAATTTGTGACCATTCACCTGGTGGCAGCTATCTGAAGGAACTGTATCTAAGAGTAAGTAATCCATATCCTTAGGGATGGATAGCTTCCTGTCCCACTCAGCCTATTTTGTGAAAGTAACATCACTGATTCTAAAAATAAATAAGAAAAACAAAACCTTGATTACCTTGGTTAACAATGAGTATATCCATTTGAGAGACAAACATCACATTGTTCTCCAAACCTAGCAAATACACTCAAATATGACTAAAACACCTGGAGGGTAAAATCCATGACTCCTCCCAGCTATCACATATCAGCTATGAATTGAGTTGTCTGACTCACATGCTAGAGTGAATCTGTGCTTTGTCTCTACTGCTGCTAGCAATGAGGGAGGGAGGAAGAAAGGAAGGGGGAATGAGAACTCTGCCAAGAATGCTAGCCAGAGAAAGCTTAGAATGTGGTTTGCAATGCTGATTTTTTTTTTCATATTCACCTCATTTTTCTAAGTAGTGAATGCTAATTATGATTTGATGGAGTTGGAGCTTTTGGTTTTCCTAGAAGACCTACTATGTGTAAGGCACGGAAGCCGTGTGAGTACAAAGATGAAAACTGACAGTCTTTGGCCTCAGGAAAGATTAAAGTCTAATTGGGGATATGTCATATAAATGAAAAACCATAGTACAAGTAGAATGTGGTAAGTGAGAAGCGCTGTGGTGTACTAGAAAGTACATTGGATTAGGAATCAGAAAATCTAAGTTTGAATATCAGTTAATCTACTTAGCTAGCTCTGTGACTCTGAATGAATCATCACCTCTTTGGCCCTTAGTTTCCTAGTTTAAAAAATTAGGGAGTTGGTGTAGATTGAGTTCTTAACCTGAAGTTTGCAAGCTTATAAAAATAGATTCTTTTGTAATCCTAAGGTATCTATAAATTTCACTAGACAGCTGAAAGAATCCAAAAACATTAAGGACCCTGTCCTAGGTGATTTCTAAAGGCTCTTCGTATTTCAAAAATGAAGAAACTAAGTGGTCTAATGGAAATTCAGAACCGTGAGGCATTGAGAAAAAGCAACTTCTGTCTTGGGGGATGAGTAAGGCAATGGTTGGAGATATGAACTAGGCCTCATGAGAAGGATAAGATTTCGATAGGGTAAGGTAGGATTTGCATAGGTGGAGTTATGATGAACAATAAGATTTAGTTTTAGCAATATAGACATTTCTGATAAGGGAAAGAAAAGATTTTCCTGATAAAATGTCTATTTTTTCAGGTATAGAAAAGGAAAAGAAACTTAAGATCATGAGGAACCTAGGATTGACCCTATGTCAAAGTAGGAATTGGCCTCCACCTAGCCAGGCTTACTTGACCCTCATTTATTTCCTTCCCTAAGTATGGCTTGGCCATCTATCCACTTGGCACTGTATCCGCTGTACAGCCTACCTGACCCTTAATACCAAGATGGAAGAGGCAAAAGGGGCAGAGTATATGACAAACTTTGTTTACTTTGCAATATTGCTAGCACCAACTTCAACTTGATTATGGAGCTACTGAGTGAGGAATTTGATTCACTGAAAACTACCTACCTACTCTATTCAAATCAGTATCAATCAATTTTATATGATTATAAGTTCTGTATATTTGGTGCCACAGCTGTGAGCTGCAGATGGTAAGATCAATTGCATAATCATGGGAAGCTGGCTGGAGGCCTACCACCCTTGTTTTTCCTTGTTATAGTGACCAAACCCAGTGTGGCAGAGGTGATTCAACTATATGGAAAGTCCCCCCAAATTATTTTCATACCTCCAGACCATTCTCTCTTGTCCAACATGAGCAGGTGCCCATCTTATGACCACCTAGTCCGTGGAGATGTTCCTTGCTTTGTCCAACTCATGACTCTGCTGATATATTGTTTTGTTATTTTAGTCTATGCATCATGTCAAAGTTCACATATTGAACCCTATAAAAATAGGGCCCTGGAAGGAGGGGGCATCTCAGATCGTGAGGAAGACCTGAGGTCCATTTAATTAGAGGGGACTATGGACCCTTTAATAAGGTGCCATTGGCTCAGAGTTCTGCCTCAGTTTCTCTCATTCTAGGTTGGATAATTTTTATCCCCACACAAGTCAAGCACTAGATAGCAAAGTGCAAAAAATAAAAATAGCTTATTGGAAAGTCCAATGAAGAATTCCCAACTCTAAAGTTCCTTTGTTTTCCCCACTGAATCCCAGAGATGAAGGGTCATTTTACCTGCTGAAAAGGGCAAGAATGCATCTCGCTTGACAAATTTTCCTTCCTTGTTGAGGAAATGCTGGGGATTGAAGGTGTAAGGTTTTTCCCACTGGGTTTGGTCTTGAAGTACTGAAGTTAACAAGATAATGGTCTCAGTTCCCTAGAAATAAAGTATTCATTAATAATGATCATGAAGGAATGGTGAAAGGTTTCCGTTTTCCTTCCTTGAATGTGACTCTTGATGGCTTATGTCAGAGCTCATGACATTTGAGAGGTAGGATGCCAAACCTCCCTTTATTCACCTCTAAAAGCCCTCTTGACTTCCTCTACCTTGCTCCCAAGGTAAACACTACATCTTTTCAGCTTCTTTTTATGTGTCATCTCCCATTAGAATTTAAATTCCTCGAGCACTGGGATTGCCTTTCTTTGTACTTGTATTTGTATTCCCAGAGTTCAGTACAGTGCCTGGCACATGGAAAAGGCTTCATAAATGCTTGTTGACTGACTGAGGATAGAAACAAAGGAGAAGAAAATGTCAACTTTCCTACACAGAGCCATGGAAACTTTTTATGTCACCTTTTCAATAAATAATTTATTAAAAACTGAAATTAAAGAAGGTAAATATTGGATTATTCTTTATTTCACCTTTTAATAGTTTCTAAACAATTTATATCAGTCTCTCATCTTTTTGGAATTCACCTGGGTATATGAGATAAGATATGGGTCTAAATCACTTTCCTGGCAATTTAAAAAATGATTTTTTAAAATTGTGAATTGAATAATCAGCAGCAATGGCCTGCCTCCCAGGACATAAAGAACAGGAAAGAAGAGTGTATAGGAGTTCAGTTTCTTTACCAAATCATATATATCTATCTATCTATCTATCTATCTATCTATCTATCTATCTATATATATATATAATTTGTGACCCCATCTGCACCTCCCTAGCTTTTCCACTGTGTACTTTTTAAAAGTGTTTCATTGGTGCTTTAAAAAAAATTTTTTTTGAAGTAGCTATCATATAGAGGACATTGTCCAGGCACTGAAAGGAGATATGAGGCAAGCAGAGGTTAAAAAAAAACCCCAACAAAACAACAACTTGCCCAGATTCACACAGCTAGTAAATGTCTGAGGTTGAATTTGTATTCAGATCTTGACTACTATTATACACATTTTACAAATGAGGAAACTGAGGCACACAGAGGTTAAGTGACTGGCCCAAGGTCACACAGCTAGTGGGTATCTGAGGTCAAATTTGAACTCAGGTCTTTCTGACTCCAGTTAAGTATCAGGGGCAGGATTATAATGGGCAGTAGATAACATCCAAGTATATTTCTTGGGTGGATGTCTGGACTCAGACTGGAATAGAAGGATGAGGGTGGACTGGATTGCCTTCAGAAAATTTCAAAGTCTCCTGAAGGGGGTAGGCAGACTGTAACATGTAACAAATGTGGAACTTTAAAGCACAAGAGTTAAAAAGAAATTAATGCAATGCATGATAGGAAGGTGATATGGACTGGTCATCTGGCAAGGTTATGAAATGACCAATGGGTAGCCAGTGTTCTACTGGTATCCCCATGTTATAGGGAGAAATTAAAGAAAGCCTTCTTTGGGTGTGCCCCTTGTGGCAAATTTATGAGATGATATAACTAAGAATCATAAGAAATCGCTGGGCACAAATGGTTAAGCTGTAACAGTGGGAGTAACAGATTCATTCTAGTATTTGAATTGTGTATAATGCATTATCTTCCATAGTCCTGCATTGCTGGAAGAATTTGAAATATTTTGATTATGAAAATATATGAGATGATATGAAGTACTTTGATCCCAGGAGAAAGAAGCCATGCAGTTTCAAGCTGTTTATTAGTGCCAGGTGCACCAATGCAAATAAATCTGGTAAGAATGCCTATTGCCATAGATCATACTAAAGAGATATCTTCCATCCAATGAGCTCCTTCAAAGCCACATGGTATGGGAACTGCTAGAGATGGTCACGTCTGTCCCAACTGACAAGTGGAGAGAGGCAACAAGATAGGCGGGGTGTCGGGGAAAGTGTTTGAGCTTTAGTGTGTCATGTTCCTATTGCTGTTTTGACCTTGAATTTCATTGTAGGAGTCATTTTACCATAATTCCTCTGTTTATCATGAAAAAACAAAAACAAACAATAAAACAAACCTAAATTCTGAATGTGATGTATAGGTAGGAATTGGAAGTGGCTCTATTTCCATCAATCAGGTTGAAAGTGAACATAGAGATGGGTAGACTTGCATGAATATCATGATGCTAACTAAAGTGGAACCAGAAGAATAATATTTAACATCTCTAAAGTAATATAAATGGAAACAACACCTTTATAGTCAAATCTGTCTTAGATGTAGAGAACATATAATGAAACACATTTCCCTCCTTGCATATATGCATATATAGTGCATTTGAACCCCCACCCTATTCCAATCAGTATCAATCAATTTGATATGCTACATAAATCATATAGGGATAGATAGGTTCTTATAGTGCACCTCAAACTTTGACGTAATGTTCACTAATTGTTTACCAAGTTATAAGACTCACTTGTGCAGCCACAAGAAGGAAGACAAAGTTATCTCCATCCTGTTTTGTTCAAATTCTATGATCAAATCAAGCATGAGTGGTGGCATGGTATGAAAATGCCCCTTGATATGTTTTAGAGTGTATGTATAGCTTGTACCATCTCCTTCTGCCTAACCTAAGGAGGAGCCCATCCATCTTGTGACCACCTAGTCAGTGGAGATATTCCTTGCTTCCCCCGACTTGTGATCTTGCTGACATATTTGCTTATTTTAGCTTATGTGTCATATGTCAACCAATGGAATTTTCTATTTTGTGTAGTTGCTTTAGACTGTATAGGTAATAAATTTGGTATCAAATCCTATAATAGTAGTGCCCTAGGAGGAGGGGGCATCTCAGATTGTGAGGAAGATCTGAGGACCACTTCATTAGAGGGAACCATGGACCCTTTAAATAAAATGCCACTGGCTTAGAGCTCTGCCTCAGTCTCTTTTATTATAGGTTGAACAATTTTAATGTCCATACACAGAACAGGTGGGAAGCTATGGATGTTGAATGTGGTCACTGTTTTGCTTATTGGTTTTCTTTGTTACAAATAAGTCTTCATTTGGAAAGTATATTAGAGAATATAACTGGTGTGAAACCCCCCAAAAGTCATGAATAAAAGCTTTTAAAAAATGAAATAAAATTGAGGAAAGAGGGAGAAAATGAGAGAACTCAAAGCAGCTAAAGGAAAAAGACCCTGGGTCAACATCCAACCTTTGATATTTACTACTTGTGCAACCTTGTCACTCAGTCTCTTTTTGCCTCAGTTACCTCATCTCCAAAATGAGGAGTTGGACTAGATGGCTTCTGAGGATCCTTCCAAATATAGATCTATAATTATATATTCTTATGATCTGAAGACATGTCCTTTAAGTGAGCTACTGCCCTCTTCTTGTAAAGATCACATCATAATGATGGTATTGATTCTCCAACTTTTGTCCACTGACCTTCATCTTCTCCACAGCTACATTCTATATTCTGACTCCTACCTTTGGGATGTAATAGTTTTTAAAGATGACATCCGTGGTAGTTTCCCGGGATACACTCATTGGCAGAATGTTGGAAAATCTCTGAATTTCATGGATGACGGCATCTGTATATGGCATTTGAGTTTGGTGCTCAGTTTGAGGCTGGGCTGGTGCTACAACTTTGGTGATCTCGTTGTGTACCTTTTCTTATAGGGTGAAATGTGGAATGGGAAAGTAGAGGAATTAGAATATACATGAGGATATATATGTGTGTGTGTGTGTGTGTGTGTGTGTGTGTGTGTGTATGCATATATATGTACATATATAATATAGTTGTAAAGTAGTTATTGAGATGGTCTATTTTGTGTTTGATGAAGACACCAAAAGTACCCTCAAATTGAGAGCTCCCTTCATTCAATGCTGAGTGGTTTTTTCCCCCATACTACTACCACCCAAGGGATAAAAGAGATTATACACAGTCCCCAAAGCTTTGCCTCTTAATATTTTCCTCTACCCCTCTTAAGAAATTCATGCAAGTTCATCAAGTCATTGTTAACCCAAGGTTTAGCATGCAAAATTTTCTCTACCATAATCTGAGCAGTCTAGAAAAATCATCCATATTCAAGTGATTATGATAGTAAAGTGAATATGGTTATGATAGAGAGGAACCATCAGGAGGTAAGAAGCAGTGGCATGATAGATAGACTGCTACACCAGCAGAGAAGCCTTGGTTCAAATCTGGTCTCTGATGCCTAGTAGCTATGTGACCCTATATAGTTACAACCTCTCAGTGTTCTAGGCAGAAAAGGCATAAACCTTCATTGGTAGAGAGAATTCCTTTATGTGAGAGTTCTCTATATAAATAAAATTACAGGTCCAGCCCCTGTCCCCTATTCTAATATATGTGGGGAAAAAACAGAAATGAGGCTTACATTTCTTATAAAATATTAAAGATTATAAAAACTAATCAGTAAAAAGCAACAAAAATTGGTGAATAGACTTCACAAAGTCCAGATATAGGGACAACTCTGTTGGAGGAAGTTCAATCCAACAATAAGGCCCATCTTTAACGAGGACAAAAACTACATATTTAAAATATTACATAAAAATGAAATAGAATATTATATATTGCATATATTAAAAAACAAAACCAAGAAAAAAAAGGGAGGAGAAGTGAGAAGAGAAAAGGAGAACAGATAAATCTAGGAGATGTAAAAACAAAAGACATAAGTAAAAATTTAATTTTCAAAAGACAATAGAGGTCCTTACTTTGGATCTCAGGATACTTCATCATGAGCAGAATTCCCCAGCATAGGGTAGAGGAGGTGGTCTCTGTTCCAGCAGCAAACAGGTTATTAACAAGGGCCACCAAGTTATCGTTGCTGAAGTAGTCATAAGGTTTGTCTTTCTCCTGAAACAGTAAAATAGGTAATGAGGGATAAAACAATAACAACAAAAACCCAAAGTCAGGTTCCAGATAGAATGATGACAGTCAAGCACATTTATGCAGATTTCAAACAAAACATTTCATTTATCCTAATTCCTTTTGAGGAACTCTGGATAATAAGAATTCACTGGAAAGTTTCAGGAAAGAATATTAAAAAAATAACTATTAGCTGAAGATATATTTTTTCAGGAAGGAATATCTTAAACTCTCAAAAGAAAATGGTAACAAATGTCAGATATCATTTATACTTTAGTTTTAACTGAGAGTGAAAAGAATCTAATAATAATATTATATAGCTAGAGATTGGAAGCTCTCAAAGCAGTTACACATATTAGAATCTCTAAGAGTTGGAAAGGAACATAGGGATAGCTCAATTCAATAATTCATAGAATTGTAGACTTAGAAATGGAAGGGAACTCCAATTAAGCCCAATCTCCTAATTTTACTGGTAAGGAAACTGAGACTCAGAGAGGTTAAGTGACTTGAGCAGTCACATAGCTAGAAAAATAATCTGAGGCAGGATTTGAACTCAGGACATCCTGCTTAGATGAGACCCTCCTATCACAGTGCCTGACTATATTCAACTAACGTTTATTTAAGCATCTTCTATGTTCAAGGAACTGTGTTAGGCCACAGGAACACAAAAATAAGCAAACAAGTAAGTAAATAAATGAATAAACAAATGAACAAATTCATGGATAGATAGATAGATAGATAGATAGATAGATAGATAGATAGATAGATAGATAGATAGATAAAGGAAATGGTACCTGCCTCTAGGAGCTTACATTCTTTGGGGAGGGGGGTAACCTAAACACAAATATATAGAGATTAAGTCTAAAATAACTTCAACCAGACAGAGTGCTAATAAGTGGGATATGGGAGAGAATCAATAAAGAGGTCTTAGAGGAGGTGGTGCCTGAGTCATGCTTTGGAGGAAACTAGGAATTCTAAGAAGCAGGAATGGAGGGAGTAGGGAAGAGACTGCATTCCAGGCACGGGGGACCATTTTTGCAAGGATAAAGAGATAAGATACGGAATGGAGGTATAGGCGAATGTAATAATAGGAAATAAGCCTGGGAAAGTAGGTTGAAACAATTTGTAGAAGTCTTTAAATGTCAAGAAGAAGATTTAAAAAAAATTTATTTTATATCCTAGTCCAACCCTCTCCCTAATTGATATGTGAATATGTTATTTCATTTCATCTTTGAACACAAATCCATAAGTAAATGGTGGGAGGGGAAAAGAAGGTCCATGTGAATTAATTGTATGAGGTATTAACATTGTCGGTCTGGCCAACTGGGCCTTTTGTACCTGAGAAACCTTTATGAAAATATCTTTGATTAAGTCAAGCTGCAAAGCAAAAGTCTACTACCTCCTGTTGTCTGATAAGAAAGGCATCGATGAAACTTCTTTGATCATCTTTATCCAGTTTTTGAAGGTGGCTTAAGAATGTCATTCTTATAAAAGAAAATAATTCATCTCTATTCCTGAGTACTGTTTTGTGATCTTGTAGAAGAAACCCCAAGGCTGGGAACATATTGAAAAGCTAAAGGAGTAAAAACAGCAAGACAAAATATGCATAAAATCTTGGAGTTGTAATAGTTCTAACCCCCACTTTAGCATGAAATCTCCTCTGCTAAATCCCCAAAAAGTAATCAATCAATCAATCAACAAGCTTTCCCCACCCCCCCATTAACTGTTTAGCAACTGTATACTTGTTTCTGGTTGTAAAAAGGCAAAGGAGTCTGCAAGGAGCTCACATTCTGTGGTAGAAATAATGAGTATACACGTATAAATAAATGCAAAGTAATTTATGAGGGGTCACATTAGCAGCTGGGATGAGAGGGTCTGGAAAGGCTTCATCTGGAAGATGGAATTTGAGCTAAGCTTTGAAGGAAGCTGGGGATTCAAGGAGGCAAAGGGAAACTATTCAAGGCATGTGGAACAATTCTTGAAAAGGGTCAGACCCAGAGGATGGAACGTGGTGTGTGAGAAAAAGCAGGAAGGGCCGGTTTGACTAGGCTGAAAAGTTTACCAAGGAGAGTAATGTGTATCCAGTAACAGTTCTGGGTAGACCAGAGTCAAATTGTTGAGTTTTAAATTTTAAAAGATTTTCTAAAAATTTAACTTATGGGCAATAGGGAGTCACTGAAACTATTTGATTAGGTAAGTTACATTATCAGAACTGATCTTTTAGGAATATAACTTTGTCAGCTATATGGAGGATGGATGAGAGAAGGGACAGATTTTAGGCAGGAGGACCATTTAGGACATGAAATAGTCTAGGTCAGATGTAAAAAGGGCCTGAACTAGGCCATGTGAGTGGAGAGGAGAGACAGGGACAGACTTTGAGGGGTATTGTGGAAAAAGAATTGATAATAATCCAATCTTTAATGAAATACTTTCAGTGACAGAGAATTTATTACCTATATAGTAGGCCTGGGTCGTTGTCAGACAACTCTTATTTGTGAGATGTTCTTCCTAACCATATTGACTGAAAATCTGTCTTCCTGTAACTTACAATAATAGAATGATTGACTCTTAGAACTGTCAGGAACTTCAGAGGCTGTCTGGTCCAACTTATGACTGGACTTTTCTACCCTTTTTTGTTTTATTTTTTTTTGTACCTGTATTACTGTTGTTCATTCATTTCAGTCATGTCCAACTCTCTATGATCCCATTTTGGGTTTTCTTGGCAAAGATACTGCAGAAATTTGCAATTTCCTTCTCCAGTTCATTTGATAAAGGAAGAACTTAGGCAAACAGGGTTAAGTGACTTTCCCAGGGTCATACAAGTAGTATCTAAGGCTGAATTTGAACTCTGATTTCCTGATTCCAGGCGCAGTACTCTATCTACTGTGCCACCTGGCTGCCCTTTTGTACCTATGCTAGTATATAAATACTGTAAGACTCTGCTTCTGGTGTTGATTTCATTGCCATATTTAAGTATAATGATAATGATGTACATTATTATTTTTAATAATAATGCATATTATATTTAAGCCTATTTAAGTATAATGATAATGACCTACATTTATCTAGTGAGTTACAGTTTACTGAATTGCACTTTTTTCACAACATCCCTATGAGTTTATAGTTAAAATGATCTTTTTTCCATTTTTCAGATGGGGAAACTAAGGCTTAGAAGGGTTGAGTGATTTGGCAAGGCTACGCAGCTAGTAAATGCTGGCACTGGGCATTGAACTGAGGACATTCATAAAATGAAAAGCAGAAAATTTGGAGCAGGCCTGAGTACATAATAAAATCTTCAAAGAAGAAAAAGGACAAAAATACACCAGAACTACAGGATTGCTCTTATAATTATATACTTGTATATTTCATTGTCCTCAGCAACTTGTGTTTATAGTTAATGGAGCTGACATTTCCCAAGGAAAGGGGTATTTTATAGTATTAGTAGTGTGATTTTCAAATTATGAATTGTTAACAAGACCCATTCTTCCATACTTCTATGATATATAAAGGTGGTTTGCCTGTTACCTTTCCCAATTTGAGATATCAGCAAGTATGCTAAGTGGAATGCCCTTCTTGAGAACACATCAGTTCTTGAGCTTCTATTGAACACCTCATATTTACTAACAGTTGTCTTTTTCAAATTATTGCATTTTTCAAAGCATTTACTCTAACAGATCAGTTTCTGAACTGAGATTCTCCTTTCATAAATGGGAAAAGATGGGTCAAAAAGGGCTACTGGAATGACTGAGGCCACATAGGGAGTTTATGTAATGCTTTAAGGTTTGCAAAGTGCCCATTTGTGTTAAATAGGAGGGCTGAACCAGAAATAAACATCTTTGCAAAGGATGAGAGTCACTTGGTACAGAAGAAAGACTACTGGATTTGGAGTTAGTGAAGTTAGGGTTAAAATTCCAGCTTTGCCACTTGCCACGTAACTTTGGGCAGGTCGCAGTTTCTCTGGGTTTCAGGTTCCTCATCTGTAAAATGAAAGGATCAAACTGGGTGATCTCTGAGATCCCATCTATCCTTATATCTGTGATCCTTAAGAAGCATGCACTTTCATTCTTATGATTACTTGAGTGTATCTGATGGGGAATGACATTAGACAAGAAATAGAGACAATTACCGTAATGCCAGGACTCCCTGCAAGTCTCAAATTTTCACTAATCAAATGTAAAAGTCTCAGGAATTGAGGATCTTGGTAGTCAAATCGCTTGCCAAGCAATATCGACACAATGATGTTAGTGACAGAAGCATTCATTATTGTACTGATATCAAATGGCTTTCCTGGAAAGAAATTTGTTAGTTGAGCTGTACAGATTCACATACACATTTTTTTTCATATAACCAAGTGCTAAAATGTGTTTTTAGATCCTATAACACATTAATGTTACAAAATTTTAGGCAAAAGAGGAATTAGTGATAAGACTCTGAACTAAATGTTTAAGGATAGGGAGAATTTTCTTGGAGGATTGATACATGTAGTGCAATCAATCAACCAACAGGCATTTATTAACTTCCTAATATATGCTCGGGACTGTGTAATGCAATTCAAGACAAAACAGATTTATCAAGGACCTATCATATGCAGATAATGAAAATAGCTATCATTTATATGGTGCTTTGCACTGCACTTTACACGTATTTACACATATTATTGATCTCACAACAACTCTGGGAGGCAGGTAGTATTATTATCTCCATTTTTGTGGTGAGGAGAATGAGGCAGACAGAGAAGTTAAGTGACTTTCTCCAGGTCATACAGATTATATGTAACTGAGGTGGAGTTTGAATTCAGGTCTTCCTTATTCAAAGTCCAGCATTCAGTCCTCTGGTTCATCTAGCCTCTCTGCAGATCACTCCTTTGGGGAAATAAACAGCTTAGTAAGATGTAAGATTTGGGACCACCATCTACTTCAATTTCTCTATTTTGCAGATGAGAAAGATGAGGCTCAGAGAGTGAAATGACTTATTCAAGGTCAAGGTCATGCAACTAGTAAGGAACAGGTCACAGATTCTATTATTCCGTGAATAAAATGAGTTTTTAAAAAAATTATCCATGTTTTCATTGTGCTCCAATTGATATAGATAATAGTGAAATGATGATATATTATTTGTAAGGAGAAAAGAAATAATTCTGGGTGTCATAAGTGTGTATAGAACATGGTGGGTATATTGGCACACTCTAGGGGAGCAGTCCCATTAGCCCTCCCCCTCAAAGGACAGGGATGGTCCAGTGGGAATGTTCCACCAGGGTGTATTGGATGCACTGGGCCCATATTCCATGCATGCCAATTCCTGTTAATTTGTTCTACTCTAAAACCCTAGATTCTTTGATTAACTGCACAACTCACCTTGATGGGATTCAAAGACTTGTATTAGATATTGACATTCTTCCACAATCCTCTCCTCTATGGGCCTCTTGCCCATGCCAAAGTTCCTCAGAGTTGTCAAGCTGAATCTCCTAATGATTTTCCAGTTTTCGCCATGAGAAAAGACGATTCCTAAAGGTAGGGGAAATTTTTTCAAATGTTTACTTGACAGTTTATTGGATTAAATTAAATTATTTATCAAACTCCTACTGTGTACTCAGCACATAGTAGGTTTTGTGGGGGCATATAGGAAACAAATAACTAGTATTTATATAGCACATTAAACTTTAAAATATACATTATCTCATTTGAACCTCATGATCCTTTGAGGCCAATAATGTTAGAAATTGCACCTGTGATTTTGTTGTTACTGGTAATGTTCAGGTGAACAAATTCTCTCTACCAATGTGACACTTCTGAAACTTATAGTTTTAGAAAGCTATCTAGAATACTGAGAGGTTAAGTGAGTTGACCAACATCACACAGTATATGTGAGAAGCAGGACTTGAACCACGTCTCCCTGGCTTCAAGGATTGATATCTCTCCACTGTACCGTGATGCCTTAGAGATGAGGAAATTGAGGCTGGGGGTTAGTGACTTGCTCAAGGTCACAAAAATACTAAGTATCTGAGGTGGGATGCAAAACCAGCTCTTCCTGATTGGAGGGTCTGCTGTTCTTTGAGTATATATTAGGATGCCTCTGAGAAGTATAAGATACGGTGTCTACCATTAATGACCCTATACCAGAGCTTGTCCCAGGGCACCAGAACTTAGAGGGTCAGCTCCTTATCATGTTCCTCCATGATTATAAAGAAGATAAAGTTTCAGACGTAGGGTTCATACTGAAGCCTTCTGACTGTAAATTTGATATTCTTTCCATGACAACAGCTTCATCACATTTGAGTCATAGCCCCACCTAATGGGTTGATGATGGACTGGCAAAATCATTTCCTAGCATGTGTGAGCAAACCCATCCTCCCAAATTGTTTCCTGCTTCTCAGACCAAAGGTGTTATTGCATTTCTCATCTATTTTGTTCATGTTAAAGTGACCTAGAATATTCTCTTCAATTCCTTGATGTTGGATTAGTGCAGAATATTAGTTTTCCCATTTGAATAGCTACCTAGACATCTGTGGAGGCCACAAATAAATTACTGGCCTCAAGAGCTTTGAGTTTTGCTTTTCTGCTTAGGTGCCTGCTTCTCAAAAATCAGCTTCCAAAGCCTCCCCACCCAATTCAGAGATAAGGAATAAGGATACCACTGACTCTGGGTCTTGACTCTACTCTGACAGACAGGCTGTCCCAGAAGAGATAAATCACTTATTTTTGTAGGAAGCAGATTTTTTGACATCTGAGAGGTAACATAATTTAGTAACTTGAACATTGCAATAATAATCAGAAGATCTGAATTTTAATCTTTCCTCAGATACTTATAAGCTGTGTGATTCTTGGCAAATCACCTAACCTCTCTTTGACCTCAGTTTCTTCTGTGAAATGAAGGGTCTGAACTTGATGAACTATAAGTTTCTTTTTCTCTCTAAATCTACAATTCTAAAGGTGACCAAGAATTAGTCAGTTTACCTCCTATTTGAAATGATGGAGAGCATGATATACATTACTAATCATTCCTAGATAGATTTACATCCTCTTAACTACTTCTTGATAGTAAATTATATTTGAAGCAGCAGCTAGGTGGATACAGTGCTGGGCCTGGAGCCAGAAAGATTTCTCTTCCTGAGTTCGAATCTTGTTTCAGACACTTACTAGCTGTGTGACCCTGGGCAAGTCACTTAACCTGTTTTCCTCAGTTTCCACATCTACAAAATGAGCCAGAGAAGGAAATGGCAAACCACTCCAGTATCCTCGCCAGGAAAACTCCAAATGGGATCACTCAGACATGACTGAAAAATGACTTAACAGCAACAAAAGTAAATTATTTAATCAATTAATCACAAATAGAAAGTTAATTAGTTGATTATTAAATAATAAATTTTATTAAGTACTCTTATGGGTGCCCAGAAAGAAAAATCACAAGTCCAGGCCAAAAAAGGTATACATTGTGTGTGTGTGTGTGTGTGTGTGTGTGTGTGTGTGTGTGTGTGTGTTTAAATATGTAACTTGCCTGCAAAAATTAGAGGTGGAAGGAGATTCAAGGTAATCTAAAAGTACCTGGGTGTAGTGAATAGAGCACTGGGCCAGGATGACCTGGGTTCAAATCCTGCCTTAGACATTAGGTATATGTCTCTGGGCAAGTTACTTAATTCTCTGTGCCTTTGTTTCCTGATGTATAAAATGAGGGGTTTGGATTTGATGGCCTGTAGGACTCCTTCCAGTTCAACATCTATCATCCTCTGAACTGAGTTCAACCTTCTTATTTTTCAGAAAAGGAAACTAAGGAACAGACTTGCCTAAGGTCACACAGGGAGTAAGAGGCAGAGCCTGGATTCAAACTCAAGTCCTTTGACTCCAAAGCAGAATTCTTTCTTCAGCTGCATCCTCCGGCTGACTCCGTGCTAATCATTAACAATCCTTTTACTTTCACTGTAAGCATCTTGGTAAATAACTCTACTGTTTGTTGAGAAAATAGGTGATGTCAAAGTAATGCTTGTCCTATACATTGCTGAAGAGAAAAATCAAACCACAAAAGTTTAAAAAGGCAGAAGAAAACACTGAGCCTATAAGGAAGCAGAGAAGTTAATATCCTAGGAGACATTTCCAATAAAGTCTGGTTACCTTTTCCTTCAAAAATTTTTTCAAAAATAGGCACATGGGCCCTTTCTCCAAACTCCTCAGAGTAGTTCACTAGGGCATCTTTCACCGTCTCATATCCTGACAGCACGACCACCTTCTTGGGACCCATCCTCAAGCTGAAGATGGAGCCATATTTTTGGGAGAGCTATAACAGAGTAAAACAGAAAGCAATTCAGAATGTGCAGTGCAGTAGAAAGAGACCTGGTGTGGGAGATGGGAGATCTGGGTTCTAGTCCTGGCTGTGCCAAATCATAAACTGGTGTAAATGGTCACTTGGATTCCTCCCAAGTCTAAGATGATGTAATCAAATCTCCAAGAAATAGTGGTTTAGTTCTCTACTTTGACTTTAGGAGACCAATGGCAAATTACATCCCCCTTCCCTCCAGCATACATAAAGTTGAGAAGCTCTGCTCCCCACTTTTGTTTTCAACAGACCTACACTTGATTTTCCAGTTTATCTGACAAATGAATTGGTCAATGAATAATATGTTTATTTATACACTAACAGTGCTCATATGTATACATATATGCTTATATATACATAATGTATGATAATATATATATATAATGTACATTATAGAACAATAAATCATATCATAGGGTATATAATAATATATTATTCTACATGTATTCAATACCATAACATAATAATATTTATTATAGGTTATATTATAACATATTATATAATAATCTAAGAGGTGATATTGTATTATAATAGATATTATATGGTGTGCTATATAACATAATAATATATTGAGTGTTTAGAAAGTACATCTCATAATAGATTTGCAGTTTCATGTGCAACCATATATATAGTTATACTATGTCATGGAAATGCTTGTTTTATTCCATAAATTAAAAAAAAAATAAAAAAAAGACATCTCAGCCAGTAGACTCGCAACTTCTCCATGATATATGGTACATCTAATTTATTGTATAACCAATCCCTATTGACTCTGTCCTGGGGCATCGTTCTACAACAGCTCATGTCAGTAACAAAGGTGAATTAAATAGGAATTAATTATGTTGGGCATGAGAGAAGTGTTCTCACATCATTCTGTGCAATCCTTCTTTTCCTTTAAGGATGAGAATTAGGAGCAGGGCCTTGAGCAGATGTCCAAGTAAGAGACCAAATGAAGAACTTTTATGAATGAGTGTAACTCTTCCTCTAAGAAACTGGAGCTTAGGTGGGGGTGGGATTGGGAAGGGCTGGACAAAAATACTATTGTAATTACAATGGAAAGGGGTTGAAGAACACAATAATTTGAGAAGAGAGATCATCATTAGATTAAAATTATAGGGCAGTGGAAATTAAATTAAAAATAAATTATGGATTAGTAATAGAAAAAGGAGATGAAACATTGAGAGGGTCCTATCTGATAAGAATACTCACAATGAGAATAACATTGGGGTGGGACAATGACAAGTGAATATTAGAGGCAAAGCTCAAAATTCAGACAAGTGACCTTTGATCTAGTTCTCAAAGAAACTAGTAGACAGGAAATTTAAAGTAGAAAACAGCATAATCAAAGACCCAGTGGTTGACTCTGGGCTAGTAACTTAACCTCAAGAAGCCTCAGTTCCCTCCTCCATAAAATGGGGAAAATAATACCTATTTGTTTACCTCATAGGGTTATAGTGAGGCTCAAAGGAGATGATGTAGATAGTTAAATTCTTTGCAAACTTTGAAGTGCTATAGAAATGTCAGTTGTGTACGCGGCGCTGAGTGTAATTCAAATTTTAGATAATTGGGAGTCAATTGTTAAAGTCCCTCAAAGACTTTACGTTCTAGCATATTATATCACGAAACCTGACTCCAGCATTTAGCTCTGCTGAACACATAAGCTGAAATTCTAATTTGATTAATATTTTTTAAATTTAAAGGAGGGTGGTGTTCAACATGTGCTACATAAGCCAAGAAAGCATAGAATAAGAATCTTAGATCTAGTGTGGACCTTAGAGACCTTTCAACCCAATTCCCTCATGTACAGAGGAGGAAATTGAGGCCTACAAAGGCAATGTAATTTACCTAACGTCATACCTATTCTACATTAGAGTAGAAGCCACAGAAACAATAAAATGTCCCAGAGTGGCTATACCACTTATCGTGATGGAAATAAACTTAGTCACATTTGTTATCCAGAAAAATTTTAAATCAATGAATGGCATCACTTGATAGCTGATCTATATAGTTACTTCTCTTCTAGTTATCTATTTATGTATCTGTGAACTGGTAGTTAGTAGATGCCACTACACTGAGGCATAACTAGTATGGGGCAAATAGGATTTAGCCTCAAGGTGCTAACACGGGTGTAGGCTTTCTCTGCAGGAGGACATTTTTATAGTCATACTCCCCTCATTGCTCCTTTGACTTATATTCCTCCAGAGGCATGTGGTAGAATTGCCCTGTGTGGGTTTTCTGGGAGATGGATGGCCCTTCCTAGGTGTTGCTACTCCCATTGCCCTTTTTGCTCTAACTCCCCTCATCCCCAAGCTGCCCAATAATATCAACCACCAGCCTCAACTACCATCAAATAACCACCAGCTAATAACCAATGACAAACGACCAACAACATGTAAATAACTCTGAATTTGTCTGAGGCCCAGCTTCATTTAGTTAAGTCTCTGTTATTCCATATTGCTTGAACCATAATTTTGAAAGGAAACTTTCTGTGTATAAATTACTCATTTTTACCTTTAGCATGGTTTGATAAGGCCTCTTCAGATTGAGTATGTGCAGGTTTCCAATGACTGGCAAAGGCCTTGGTCCTGGAGGAGAATGTCTCTTGAAACTCTTAGTCAGAGTGAGCTTAATATTTAAAATAAAAATAAAAATGAAAATCAGACTCAGCCCTGAAGGTATGGAGAACAAATCCAATTCACTCATTTTCTATCAGTAGTTGCTAGGGTGGCAACACCAATGAATATGGCAATATGGCAATGGAACAGAGTGGGCAGATACTGGTGTTGCCTGGAAGCAGGAGGGAGCCTTGGGTACCGCCAGCTGCTCTCTGTCAGTCCTCCTTATTTATAGGAAGCAAGTAAGGAAGTAGGAGAGTTTTTGTGGTCATACTTAACATTTGCCTCCTGGGTTGGTGTCTGTTTCCTGTCTCACTTTCTTAATCCCCAATTTACCTATTTTCACATGTAGATATAGAGTTTTATGTCACTCATAATAAGGATTAGTATTTAAAATAAAAATTTCAGAGAGAGGAATGAACATATTTAATCTTCAGTATATAATTTAGGCTATACACTAGAGTGAAATGTTTTGTGCCAAGATACACACCAGAATTTGCTACTAAAGGTATGGTGGAAAAAGGGATAAGAGTCAGAAGATCTCAAATTCTGGCTCTGTCATTTGCTACCTATGTGACCTTGGACATAATATCATTTAACCTTTCTAGGCCTCAGTTTTCTCAGCTATTAAAAAAAATTGGACTAGGTTAGAGGTGGGGAACCTGTGGCCTGCAGGCCATATGTGGCCTTCTAGATCCTTAAGTGTGGCCTTTTGACTGCATCCAAATTTTACAGAAGAAATCCCTTTAATAAAAGGATTAAAAATAATAAAACTGGGACCTATAGTAGACTTATTTTACAGATAAGGAAATAAAAATTATAGAGGAGAAGTGATCGTCTAAGGTCACGTGGGTGACCCTGGTACAGCGCATATTCAAAGCAAAGTCCACCAAGGCATGCCCAAGGTCACAAAGCTTTGTGTCAGAGCAAGAACAGGACTCCAGGTTGTCTAGCTTTTCACAGTAAGAAAAATTTATAGAAATTCAGTCACTCCCAAGGCAGTTTAGTGCAGTAGTTAGAGCACAGTGCCTGCAGCCAGCAAGAAGAGTTTAAATCCAGTCTCAGACACTTATAAGGAGTGTGAACCTGGGTAAATCACTTAGCCTCTCTTTTCCTTAAGTTCCTCAGCTGTAAAATGGGGATGATAATAACACCCACTTCTCTGGCTGATATGAGGTTCAAATAAGATAATATTTGTAAAAAGAAAAAAAAAACAGCACAGTAACTATTGCTTAGTAAGTAGGCACAATATAAATACTTATTCCCTTCCCTTCCATATCCAGCTTGATGGGATTCTCTCACTTGGATTAAGACAAGAAGTGACAAAGAAATGGTAAGCAATATGTGTGTGTATGTGTGTGTGGGGAGAGCATGAGGCCAGTAAAAGAGATTGGGGAAATGACCATGTTAATCTTTTTCAGTTTGTGTGGTATTATCACTTAGATGTATTTGTTGTTTTCATTGAGTTGTTTTAGTGGTATCCTACTCTTTATGACCCCATTTGGGGTCTTCTCAGCAAAGATACTAAAATAGTTTGCCATTTCATTCTCCAGCTCATTTTACAGATGAGGCAAACAGGGTTAAATGACTTGACTAGGGTCACATAGATAGTTAAGTGTCTGAGGCCAGATTGAACTCAAGATTATGAGTCTTCCTGACTCCAGGCCTAGCACTTTATCCACTGAGCCTTTGTAGTTAACTACTTTGTAGTTACACAATGTTAATATACCCAATTAAAAAAGAAAATTTTGGTCAGCTTTTAAAAGTAGATTTTTTATTGTTTTTTTTTTTTGTTTTGCATCACTTAAATTTCCTTATTTCTTTCCTCCTCTTTATGCCCAGAGAGGCATACCTTATAACAAAGAATTTAAAGAAAAAAATAAAAACCAATCAATATCTAAAAAAGATGACATTCTACATAATATTTTATATCCATGGACCTGGATGACCTGCAGAATGTCAGCTAATTTTTTTCTTTAATATATCATAATTGACTGGCTAAGTTCTCTTGTCTCCCACATTTTCCAGGTTTTTTTTAAAGTGTTTACTAGATACACCATAGTCCTTTAATAAGCATATTAACCTATCCTCTTGTAGAAATAAGAAAAATGAACACCTAGTCTCATGATTCATTATAGACAGAACTGAATTTATGATGGTTAAGGTCTACATCTGCTGAATCAAAAATAATGGATTTAGGGATGAAGGATAATTAAAGGATCAGAAAATCTCAGAATCAGAAGGGACTTTTATAGATCATCAGCCCAACTCAAGCAAGAATCCCTGCTCCAATATCCCTGATTTATGGTTGCCCAACTTCTATTTGAAGACCTCCAGGTATGAAAAACCTCCTGGAGCAATCCCTTCCTATTTAGGTAGCTATAGCTATTAGAATTTTTTTTTTCCGGACATGGAAAATGAATCTGTCTCCCTGACTCTTTCACCCATTGCTTGTAGTTCTATCCTCCTGAGCCAACCCAAACAAGACTACTCCCTTTCCCATGAGAGTTCTTCATGTACTTGAAAGACAACTATTACACTCATGCCAGTTCCTCTCTTAGCTATTGAACTTTAATTTCTGTTGTATTTGAAGAGATCATTCCTTCTTTGGTGAGTTTTTCTTGATTATCACAATCATTCTTTTACTCTCTTTTTAGCAGTTTCTTTCTTTGCTGTCTTTCTATCTTTTATATCTTTTCACTCCTTCACCAACAAGCTTTTGTATGTGTTTCAGTGGTACTATTCTCTGGGAGGGTGTCTCTCTGCACAGTATTCTTTGCTTCAGTTCTTCACAAGTCAAGACAGGGACCTTCTGATGTCATTGGTCCTCTTTGAGAATGGAGGGCAAACAACTATCTTGGTATATTCCCCCTCCGTGGATATACCCCTACCTATCTCTCTGGAGACAACTCTTCTGGTTGACTTGCTGAAACTCGGTAAGAGGGATTAAAATTCTTGGTTTTCTTTTAGCCTTAAATTGATACTTTAAAAACACAGCTGAAATAGCACCCACCTGTGCTGAAGCCTTAGCAGCTTCCTTTTATCTCAAGGACAGGTGACTAATTCCTTTGTTTGACATTGAAAGTGTTCGTAATCTGTTTCCAGCCTGTCTTTTCCAGACTGATTTCATATCACTCTCTACCGTGAATTCTAGGTTGAGGCTGAAGGGACCTGTTTGCTGTTACTCCAAAACAACATTCCATCTCTTTCCTTTGTGCTGTCCCATATGCTGCTTCCCTTGCCTAGAGTACTCTTCCTTCTTACCTCTTCAATTCTTGGAATCCCCCTCTCCTAATAACAACAACAGTAGTAGTAATCATCATTGTTGTAGTAGTAGTAAAGAAGTAGTAACAATTTATACAGCACTTTAAGGTTTGCCAATATTTTTACGTTTGTTATATCACTTAATTCTCATAACAGCACTACGAAGCAGATGCTGTTATTATCCCCATTTTACATATGAGAAAACTGAAGGAGATTAAGTGACTTGCCTAGGGTCATACAGCTACTTAATGTCTGAGGCAGGATGAAAACTCAGGTCTTCATGACTCCAAATCCCATATTCTACCAAATGCATCATCTAGCTGCCCTTCTAGGCTCAGCTCAGGTGCAGACTTTTTGTGATCCAGTTGTTAATATACTTCCCTACTTCAGGAAATGTTATTATTTTTTGTTTTTCCTCCTTCATTTTTTTGAAGAAGACCAAGGACATCACAGGGTGAAGTCTTGCCTTTCAAGTGAATTGGATTTAAGTGAGGCAGAGTTGCACAAAGTTGTTGGCCTCATTATTTCTTCCCGAGTCAATGAAGTCCAGTGTCAAGACAAAAGTTAGGATGACTAACTATGGGCCAGCATGCAGTGGATGACCTTTGCTGTCTTCCATGTCTGACCAAGCTTTCAGCGCTCCAAAGAGCCTGCTTCAGCTGCCTTCATTGCCCTTTGAACAAATTGTTCTCATCTGACCATTCCACCATGTGACATTTTCACATGGGGTATATCGAGTTTTCAAGGAAGACTAGCACCTCTGGTGTGAGGGCTTACCAAGCCTTTTTCAAGGCTGCTTATCCCACTTTGGTATCTACCTTTCACCCAAACCTCACCTGTGGCTCCAAGAAGCTGCGGCATGCACAGTGGCCACACTGTGTAAAACCATCTCAGAAGATGGGCTAAACCAGGTTAAAGGTAATGGATAAGCCTCAAACCAGTAGATGAGCTGGAAGAGTGTTTATCCCAAGCATGTGAAGACTCCCCCCTGAGGAATGGGTGGATGAGAGTGCCCCAGGAAATAACTTTATATTTAGTTACCTGTTTATAAAAGTGACATCCTTCCAATAGAATGTAAATTCCTTGAGGATAGGGATTATTTTATTTCTGTCTTTATGTCTCCAGTGCATATTGAATTATAGGTAGTTAATAAGTGCTTACTGAATTCAGATAACTGATTAATGCAAACAATATATCTTATGAAAAGAACAATTTAATTAAACAAATATTTATTAAATGCTTATTATATACAAGACATTGTGTTGCTGTACTTTGACTAGGAAAACAAATGAATTTCTGCCCTTAAGAAAATATATTGTTCCTTGATCCCTTGATAGATGATGTAAGATATGAGATATTTAAGTGGGGTGGTTAAGTAAATCAATCAAGTGATTAATTTAAACCACTTAAAATGATGAGATGCTCAATCAGTTTAATCAATCTTAATCCTAGGCTTTAGGTTAAGTTTGCAAAGTACTTGAAACTGGAGTGACCTTGCACAAAAATCCTATTCTGAAAGGCAGAGGAAACTTGGCTGCACCCTATGGCTCCTATATAAAATCATCATGCTGATAGAACCAGAATCATAGAAAGTTTGGAGTAAACGTTAAGTTCCAGTAAAGTCCTCAGGAGAAAGGGTCTTCATAGAGGATGGAAGGCAGAGGGAGGAGAGGTCTCAGCTTCAGCTTTAGCTATGATCTGGGAGGGAGGGTACCAGATAACATCTTGCTTCCCTACTAGTCACTTTTACAAATTTCAAAAGTCTTCTAGAGTGATTCCTAACACAAGATGGTGCTTAGGTTAAATTTTAATAAGAAATATAGCAATAACTTAAAATTTTGTTACATATAGGTTACTCTGTCATTATGCATTATACATTTGACAATTTTGGCTGACATCTTTCCAGACTTGTGGATCAGTAGAAGATACCCTCTTGCTTACCTACCTCTATTGCCTATTCTATTTCTGCTAGACTTTTTCTTGTAGGGTCATGTCAAAACTGTCATGTTTGCATCAAAATTTCATTCTTTGAATGATCTTAATGTTAGGATTACAAATGCAGTCCTTAAAGGACCTATTTGTACAAAAGTATTTGTAGCATCTCTTCTCATGGTGGCGAAGAAGTGGAAACTGAAGGGATGCCCAATAATGGGGAATGGCTGACCAAGTTAGGGTATATTAATGTGATGAATGTTTATTGTCCTATGAGAAATGATGAAGGGAATGGTTTTAGAGGAACATAGGAAGACATATGAAGTTATACAAAGTGAAGTGAACAGAATAAGAACAATTTATATAATAACAACAATAGTATAAAGATAAACAACTGAAAGACTTAGGAAACTTTACATAACACGATGACCGACCACAATTCAGAGTACTCATGAGGCTATGTGCTGCTCACCTTCAGAGAGAGAGGAAATGGATGGATGAAGCGTACAGATTGAGGCTTTATTTTTTTTTTAACATGGGTAATGTGGGAATTTGTTTTTCTTGACTATACATGCTAGTAATAGGGGGAAAATGCAATTCTTTCAATCAATCAGCAGCAGCCTTTCTAAGTTTCTCTGAATTATTTACACTTGTACTTTCTTACACCACAGTAATGATTCTATTACCATTTTATACACCATCATTTGCATGTAATGTCATCGGTCTTTGAAAACAGAGGACAGGCAACAACAGCCATTCTCCAAAAATCAATGGACATTGACTTTGTTTCTACTTTTTTTACCCTACCACAAGGAATACTGCTATGAATATTTTGTTATATGTAGGAAATTTCTGTCCTTGAGCTCCTTGGGGGTAAATATCCAGCAATGGAATGCTGAATGAAAGGGAATGCATAGTTTTGTGACAATTTTCACATAATATCAAATTATTTTCCATACTGGTAATTCTATTCTGAAAAATAAGAAGAACTTGCCTAACTTTACATTCTTTTCATAGTGGATTAAAATAAAATAAAAAAATACACTATGTCTTTCCTTATATTAAGTACTTAGTAAGTGCTTGTTAAATGACTCTAAACATGCTAAGAAGCTACTAGGTTTCAAAATGAGAATCAGA